TCATTTGCATCACAGTGGGCCCTGCTCAGAACTTAGCGTGAGCAGGGGAGGAAATGGAGGCTGGATCCACTTATCCCACCAGATAAGAGGACTCAAGGGAAAAGACCTTCAAGAACAGGCAACAGAAAAGGCATGAGACCTTGGTAGAGATAAGGTGGAGGGTAAACATAAATCAAGCTTGTTACTCAGTTACACCAGCCAGAAGGTAAGAACAGTTATTGACCTGTCTGTGTGGACATGGAGAGAGAATCCAGTGAGGTGTTAGAGGACCCCAGACCCAAAATCACCAGAGGACCAAGAAGTGTGAGCACAGGAAGAACGGGGACATCAACTGAATGGGTAAAAAGTCCCAGGTTTTCTTTGTTCAGGGTCCCTGAACAGCTCCACCAGATGGAGTTGTTCCCACTGCTGTACCAAATAATTATTAAATTATTCTTTCCTGGAATTGGATGTCTGAGACTCTTCTGTGGGAAATCTAAAGGAGAGAAATTTCTATAACAATTTGGTGACCCAGGTGGAATCCCAGGCCACCACCTTCAGATCCTCCCATCTCCAAACATCCAACTGCCAGCAGTGGCTGAGCTCACCCAGGACCTACAGAGTGGGAGGCACTCAGGGGTTAGTGTTACAATTCCCTGAGCAGATTTGGTGAAGATACTGTGGGTTTGAGACCCTCTTAGTGTTAGAGAGCCCTGCAGCTTGTTTATAGTGCACAGCCTGAGCAGTGCAGGGGGTCTGAGACCCTCATGAGGTGCACATAGAAGGGGAATCCGAGTCTCCCTTAACCCACAGAAGGGAGTTCAAGTCCCTCTTAGTGCTTGAAAATTATGGGAAACAAATCCAGCACAGAGAAGGGAGAGAAATGTCTCTAACAGCAGGACTCTCTGCCAGGGCTGGGTGTGCTCAGTGCTGAGCTCACTGGCTCCTGCCAGGATGGGTCCCCTGGGAATGGGATGCTCTCCAGCTCCAGTGGGATAAGGAGGATGGGGACAGAGGAATTGGGGATGCCCTGCCTGGCTGGTGAACATCACCCACTGCCACCAGGCTGTGTCTGGGGATGGGGACCAGCACAGGCAGTGGGGTACGAAAAGATGAAGAGCAGGGTAAGAGGAGAGGCTGCAGGTTTTCCACGGTGTCTGGGACACCAAGATCATTCCCCCCAGCAAGGAGTGGTCCCCCCAGGAGCCCTGGGTACCCTGCAGATCTCCACTCTGTTGGCTGCCTCCTCCATCTCCTCCCTGAGAGCGTCGGCTTTGGCGCCCGAGGGTTGCAGGTTGCTGGCCAGGCCCGAGGACTTCACGGACTGCTGCCACCTGTGGAGAGGGCAGAGCTGTCACAGGGAGGGACAGGGACCTGCAGGGACCAGGGAGCACATCTCAGCAGACTTGGAGGGCAGCACAGGGACCCCCTTCAGCCAAGCCCACCATGGTCCTCAGGGTTGAGCACCACGGAGATGATCCCAGTCCAGCTGGGATGCAGCATCCACTCCCAGCACCAACCACCCCCCATCCCCACAGCCAGATGTACACTCGGGGCTCTAATGAAGTCATTATTTTCAGCAGGATAATGAGCCTCATCCAGGTGGAGGGAGAGATGAAGGGACACCTGTCAAACCTCTCCCCAGGACGTGCTGTGAAGTGGGGCCATGGACAACTCAGTGGTGCCACAGGACAATCCCTGCAGTGGCAGGAGAACCCAGCTCTTTGCCAGCACATCAGAACTCACCAAGACAGGGAAAAGAGGGAGCAAAATACACATTTCTGCCAGAAAAAAAATACTCTTTTGCTGCAGAGGGTAGGTAAGGAAAAGGAATCCGTGGATTCTGCAGACAGGAGCAGAAATTGTGGCTCACTGCAGAGCTTGACTTCAAGGCACACAGTGACACAGCAGACACTTACTGACCCAAGGGAACTGCAGTGCCAGGAGTCCAGGACCTGCTCTCCCTGGAGCTAATCATCCCTTGGGAATTCTTATTTTTCATAAAGCATTTGAAGCCACTTCCTACCTCGTCCTGGAGGAGTCCATGTCCAGCACGAGCTTTGCCAAGTGCTTCCTCTGCTTTTGGATATTTGGGATTTCCACCTGCAGGGACACACAGGAATGGGAGGAGACAAATATCCCTGGAGAGGTGTCCAGGAATGGGTCACTCACACCAGGAGTTTGGGCTGGGGCAAGATAAGGATGCAGCTCCTTCTTTTATCATCACCATCAGGGAGATGGCACAGCTCATCCCTCCTCTGTGTCCCCACAGGGACTGTGCCCCACCCTGACAGCCCCAACTGCAGAACCCAAGAGGAGCATCCTTGGGGGATCAAAGCTTCCTGCCCTGGGGAGCTGGATGAGGGAAGGAAAAGGGCTTTTGGGGATGGCAGTGCAAAGCCCTCCATGCATGGTCACCACTTCCCAAAGGATTTGATAACAGTTGAAAGCCCTGGACACCAGTAGTGCCTCAAAGCTTCTGCTTCTGCTGGGGAAGACAAAATCAGAACCAAGCCCAGGATGTTTTTCTGGGTGTAAAAGCGGGGAAAAAAGCATTGGGTAAAATTGAAAAACAAAGTTGGCAACAGGGTGGAAAAGGAGGGGGGGAAATCCCAACACCAAAGAGTGTTTGGAGCTTGGAAAAATGGGTCTGAAATAAGAGTGTTAAGCCACTGCCCTTGGGAAAGGCAGAAAGGAGGAGGAGCAGTGGGAGCAGGTGAAGGAGCCCAGCAGGACACGCTCCAGCACCAGCCCGGCTCCAGGAACTGCACAAGCTGCCCAAGGGGTGCTTTCCCCAGTCAGATGTGAGTCCCCAGCACGGGGACACCCCCACCCAGTGACACCCCCATGCTGCTCACCTCGGCCAGCACGAAGAGGGGCTCGATGACATCTCTCTCCACCTGCAGCTCGAAGTGGATGAGCTCCTGTGCCAGCTTGTCCTCGGCCTCCCCGCACAGCCGCAGCATCTTCCTGCAGGGACACGGGCACAGCTGGGCACTGCGGGGCTGGGGGGCAGGGGGGGGCTGTCCTGCATCCATGGGGGTGGGCAAAGGGCACCCAACACCCCTGGGGGTCTGGGCAGTGGTGAGGGGCAGCCTGTCCTTGGTGGAGAGCTGGAGAGAGGGGAACCGTGGGCTCTGTGGGTGTCAGGAAATCTCATTCCCCATTCCCTAAATATTGTACCAGTTACAGTCTGAAATGGTATGGACTTTGTTAAGAATTATACACATAGTTTCTTAAGTTATAGATATATTAAGTTACTTATCCACACATAGCTTACATTGTATACTGCATGACCAAAGGACTTTGTTAAGAATTATACACATACATGTACAGTTTCTTAAGTTATGGATATATTAAGTTACTTAAGATATATATATATATACACATACACTTTACAGGGTATAGTGCATGGCCAAAGGACTCCAGCTCACAAC